TTTGAGTCTTTGGCAAAATACATTTGTTTGACTTGGCATTTAAACCGATTTTTGGCTTTTATTCTATTTGATAGTAAAGTGCCCTTAGCAGTCTGCATAGAAGGTTGTATGGAAGTGCCAGTTTGACTGACTGAACTGAATGAATATTATTTACCTTTTCACATCCTGCCCCCTTATAATAAAGGAATCGCTGCTGCAAAAATAACTATGAAGTTCAGCTTATTAAAAGGTGCTACCTCAACAGTTTTGATTTTTTGTTCTTTTTTTTTTTTTTTTTTAACCCACAGAATAGGAATAGCACTCAGGATCATAACTATGGAGCTATTTACTGTGCCACTACGTCCATTTTTCTGCCATGACATGCAGTCGTATCATACAATTTTTTCATGAACTCATCAAGTTCCATCTTAAAAGTTCATTTCTACCCCCCATCCCCCCAAAATAGAAATGCAAGAGCCCTTTAAGCTTTCAATAACAATCTGTCTCACAGTCATGACCTGAAGGCATCGCCTCGTTTTTCATGACATTCAGAAAGCTGACTTCTGGGATCGCCAGTGTGGATGCCAATGACAGTGGTAAGATTTGTAACTTGGCTGTCTCTCCTCAGGCACTATATATTTTATGTAAGGCATTGAGCAGACGCTAATTTTGCAAGAGCTTTCAGCCATTATGTGTCTTGGCCAGATTTACACTGGCAACACAGGACAACGAGTGATTCCAAGATCCATTATTTTGTCCTGAGTCATCGAACTGTAGCAAACCACTCGTTTTGTTATGAAAAACAAGAACTTATTTACTTTCAAAAGTGTTCAGCAAGCCACAAAACACATTTTACAGATTTAACTACTACTGCTAGGTCACAGTAGTTATTTTGGTAATAATTTTATATATTTGTAGATAGAAATAAAAGCTTTAGTGATGTTGAGAATTCATTTCTGGTTCACTGAAAAAAGAAATTACCAATGCCACACCTGTGATTTCCTCCTCATGTGGAGTGATATCTGAAATTAGGATTGGGAAAGGGGTTTTGGAGAAAGACCCTGAGTATACAAGGTCCCATACCATCTAATATTTGTACAAAAATCATCCTGAGGCTCTGAGTCTGAAAGCTCGCAAAGTAGTTTTCAAAATTAGATAGAAACTTGTGTGGTTTCTCATGCCTGAACAATGCTCTTGAGAGCAATGGGACTTCAGAGAAACGAAATAATTGAGACAGAGTTTGGCTACCAAAGCTTAAACGAAGGCTTATTAAAAAAAGAAGAGAAAACCTAACAACACAAATGTGATGGTCCATATATAGGACATCCTCACCACTCCAAAGTATTTTATACCATCTCTATTGTATCATCTACAGAAGCTGTAATGCAAAATTTTCCTTTGGTGGATACATTTATCTATATCAAGATAAAATAAGCTTTTGAAACAAGCTTCATGTGTTTTGTTAACTCTTCTGCTCCCTAGAGGCTTTAAGGAATTCCTAAAAATGGGTGGTTTTGCATGGTCTGTTCTGCATTTCCTAGGCTTCACAGCTTTAGTCAAAACCAAAGATTCCACTTTTGTTTTTAAAATTTTACATATTGTTATTTTTATTCAGTTCAGTTTAATGAATTTTGCATCTCTTTTTGTATTGATTTTGGTATTCATAAAGCTCTTAAAGAAAGCACTTGGGAACATGTTAGGAACCATGGTATGCTGTATAAAGTGGCAGTACCGTGTATCCTTACACAAAAAATCGGATGTAATCATACACAAATATGCTTGCTAAGTACTTGATTTATCCTCTCAGTTTAGTGTACTTAAACTGTGAATGGTTTATAGGAGTCCTAGAGCTTTTCTGCACTGTTAAAAACATTGTCAGGAAGACCATAAAACCAGGAGAGACTAAATTAATTAGTCATCCACCAAATAATAAAATGGATAAAAACCTTCTGAATTAAAAAAAAGCACAAACGCCATTATCTCTGAAATACTGTTGCTGAGAAGCAGATGTGTCCTTCATCTGTCTGGGGAGCAGAGTGGAGGAGAAGTTCCACAGCTGTACAGCCAGGACCAGTATGCACCAGGACGCAGTGGTGGCAGGAAAAGGAGCTGGAGCCCATCTCACCTCCCTGACTCTCCTGCTTAAAGTAAGTGCGCTCTTACTAACAGACAAGCAGACAAAAGAAAATGCTGGCTGTATTTCTGACCCAGCTGGAAACAGGGGTTACACCTATCTGAGTAAATTAAAGAGTGCCCAGGAGCACTCCAAGGCACCAGAGCTGGATCATTCGCTCTGCTCAGGGTGGAAGAGTGCTTCTGCTGCACTTACGTCCTATCCCAGCTACACCACAAAGTCCCCAGCACCCCAAGGACCTCTCCCAGAGGGCAGCTGCCATGGGATCACCCTGTTTCGGAGACTGAGAGAATATCCCTCTGGCTTGTTTCACACCATGGTGTTCCTGAGCATGTTTAATTTACTAGTGTGACTTTGGCCAAAGTCAGCTCTGAACCAGAACTCGTGTAGCTGTACTTAGGCAGTGCTTGAGCCCAAGCTAATAAAACCTGCTGAGGGGCAGCATATATTAGCTCAGGTTCATTGCTGTGCTAACATGGCTATATGGCTTCCAGATGGCTCACAATTTAGGCAGAGCTATCGCCTGCCAAAGTCCATATATACATCAATATAAATATATATATCCTAAATTCCCCCACTGTAAGGACACTAATGAAGGTGAACTCACTCCTGATACTTTGACTTGTAAGTACCAGATCAACCAAGAGACTTAAATGTAACAACCCAGCAGCATCCTCCAGAGAACCTGATGGCTACCATGGTCATGTAAGTCAGGTGCCAAGGTTGACTAGGGGCAACCTTGGGATGAGAATGATAACATCCAGTGTTGTAAAGGTGATACCAAGGCCAATGTAAAGTATGCAATCGACTACCTAGAGAAGCGAGGGTGCTGCCACAGGTTGCTATGGGTTGAAAGCAAGCCAGCCACCCTCTGCAACATAAAGAATGTGGCATGTGGCCATGCTGCCACTCTGAAGTCTTCATGGGAGAAAGGGACCTAGGAAGGCCCAGGCTAAAAAAGAGAAAGTGTGTCTCTTAATGTCTCCCATCATCACTGGAGAAGGACCTCATCAGTCCTTCCTGCAACATGTAGGATTAGGAGCCAAAACCCCTTCCAGGGGACACGTGGAAGTGTACCCAAATGTGTGCTGGAGAGAGAATTGGCCTTCCCCAGGATTTGCTCGAATCAAGGAACCTGTGTTTTTCAAGTTTCCCTTTGCTCTGAGAAAAAAAATAAATACCTGAAGTAAGAGTCAGAGTCAGGGAGCTGAGGATTGCTGCTGCCTGCCCACCTCAAAGAGCAAGAAAGCCCAAAGAAACCTTCCATAGGACTATGTGGTAACAGAAATCACCTTAATCAGCTTGGGCTTTTCAAAGTTACTATCAGTTTCTTCCCCCTTGACGTGCAGGCAGATGGAAAACAGACTGAGAGCTTTAGTAATCTAAGAAAACGCCCAGAACTTCATGGCTGTGGGGGCTATTCAGGATGCTGTATTGAGAGCTGTGTATTTAGAAGCTGTTTTATTCTGTGGATCATCAATAGCCATCACTACACATTAACTCTCTCTCCCATGTTCTGTAGACAGCACTAGGTTCTCTTCAGCAATGGATGTAAATGGCCAAAGGAATATTCTTGCAGCTATTTATACGCCTCCAGTAAAAGGGATGTTCAAATCATTGCTAACTTCCAATTACAAAAATGTTAAGTGTTGGTACAAAGGTGCTGATTCACTGGAACATATTTTAAGTCTTAGGAGACATATGGTATATATACAGGAAAAGCATCACGTGGAGCTTTTCGAACTGTTTCTGCATCTGCAGTGCTTTTAGGCTGCAATTCATCCAACACCCGCACTTCCATCAGTGTGAAAATGATCACCTCTCATTTTAAACACCGTGGAGAATTTTGGTGTCAAAAGGAGGGAGTCGGCCAAAAGGGGATGCTGCAGAATGTTGAGGAGACATTAAAAAAGAGAATAAAAACCCCCTGATCCTTAATTTACCACAGCCCCAGGGAAACAGTGCATTATATGTTGACAGCTTCCATATGTGTCATGCAAACCTTTATTCTTACTGTTCAAAATAAAACGTCCCATTAAGAGAAAAAGTCTACATTTCATGCTAAAATGAGGCATATGATACCAAATACTGTCTTAAAGAAAAAAGAAAACACATTCCAATGGCATGTGGCTTTTTCGTACTTTTTCAACGTTTCCAAAGGGCGAAAAAATATGAATTACGACAACCAGACATTCTTCCAAAGTTGTTTTTATCACACTGTTATATTAAATAGTTACAATTTTTTTTTATTTCTCACGTAGACATTATTATTATTTATGCACCATCTTCAGGGATCACCAAAGAAATACAGCTACACAAGTAATTGCCTAAAAAATCACTGAAAAATAACTGTAAGAAATATTATTGTTAATGGTAATGACAACAACATAGTAGCATCCTGGAGTCTCAGTAATTATTGGCACCCCATTTTAAAAGTGCTGTGTAAGTAAATGTAAAAATTAGTATTTGTTTATGGACTTGATTATCCAAGGCCTCAATGCAGCACCTGAATGCCTCAAACAGGGATCCTCTAACTTAACAGAATCCCATTTAGTTTAATATCTGTGGCAATAGAAAGGTTAATGGATCAGTTCTTATCATAAAGATCTCTCCAGAACTCTTCTGCCTCCTGTAAACTCAATGAACAGCTGGAGGAGTGAAGAAATGTACTTCACACCTGCACGGCCTAAAGTTCACTTGAGCCAAGGGAAGGTTTTTCGGTTGATTTGAACCAGTCTCTGAGCTTTCATAGAAAACTGGTTGGAGGGAAGGTGAGTGGGGTTCTCTGAGTTACAAACTGAGTCCACTACGTACTGAGTCATGTATAAAAATTCATGTTCCATCTGTACACAAACATGTCATTCAACTGCTGGTGTTTCTAATAGCTTCCAGAAGTAACAGCAACCCAATAAAAATAATCAAAGCCTTAAGAGCAAAATTGTAAGAGCATGAAAGGATGATTTGCCTGATGCTAAGCTGAAGCGGTATAGCACAGGTCTTCCCTTTGAAAACTTTAGTCCCTAGAAGGGCACTCTTGAACGAATAAACAGAAAAGGGAACGGAAAGTGAGGGAAGAGGGGAAGTCCCTCCTCACTCAAGCAGCTGTGTTGAGAAATTCAAATAAGTGAGGTGCAGAAGGTAAAGCAGCCTGTGGCTTTGGAATTTAAAATAGAAAATTATCTATCACCTTCCTGATCTTGGGAGTAGGACAGGGGAAATATTTACATAAACTGTTCTTTTACAATTTCTTCATTGTGTTAACCTAAAGGTTTCCTTTTACCCATACAAACTCTCCTGCTCTTTACTGAACGGATATAATTTTGAGGCTAGAACCAACAAATTGCTGGTTCCAGGGTTTCTTAATGAATGCCTTTCATGGACATGTAATTTTCAAGAATCTCTGTATTTGAATCTCCTGGAAAAAAAGTCAAGGACGGAGTTTATTCTGGAGCAGGAAAGCTGGCCAGAAGCCAGCCCACCTAATTTGGATGCCTGACGGAGGTGTCACCTCTCCAGAATTTTAAGGCTTTAAAAATGGCCTCGCCAAAGCAGAGCCGCTCCCTGTACAGCCTGAGCTCAGGTGCGGTGCCTTTGAAGGCTGGTTGAACGCAGCAGCGACGTGGTCTGCTTTGCACTGCTGACTCCCTTTTCCACTGACTGTATCCTGACCATGTAGGCAATATTAGGGGTAGTGGTCGTCCACTCTGGTTCAAGCCTGACAACTCCCTCTTTAAGCATCGTGCCTAAAGGAGGACAGTTTTTGCATAACTCTCCCGCAGCCGGAGCACTTGCTGAAAAAGTATGAGAGGCTTTGTTCACAGCCCAGCTGAGCCTGAGGGAGAATTCAGATCAAAAACAATGAGAAAATGTAGCCAGAACAAAGAAAGAAGAAAATAATATTAATCCTTACACCAGAGTTTCTTCTGCTACTCATTAACATTATGTCAGCTAAGGTTTAGATTAACAGGCATCATAGATCCCTTGACCTCTGACAGAAAAAGCTTTTTGACAAGAAAGAGCTAAATCTGAAAGTTTGCTTGTAAAGTAGTATGGATTAGGTGAACCATCACAGAAAAAACAGTATATAAGTCTCTTTTTATTAGTTTCTAGAGAAGTCTAAGTAAAGAACATTTCTTTTAAAAATATTATTTTGCATTGAGATGCATTTTCACTTTTTAATGAAAAGCGTAACCGTGAACAATGTAGTAGCCTACCAAATTTGTACTAAAAACCCTACAGCTCTGGTTTCGGTTTTGATAGTGTTCTTTATGAGTTCCAGCTAATTAAAATTTTCAAGATTTCAAACTTCTAACTTATTTCAAGATAAAAAAGTTTTGAAATTAATTTTTTCAAATGATAGAAAACCGATCTCGCATTATCCTATTGTTAACCTTTCTCCAACATCAGTCTCAGCGACTATGAGGTATGCCCTGAATGGTCCTGAGGTTTTTTTTATACTCCGTGTTTCAGCCCAGAAAGATCTCTAGAAACTTTCTAAAACAAAAATTCCACAAATCTGCTTGAGTTTCCTGAATGTAATAATCAGTGGAAGAAGATTAAAACAAAACTTTATTTTGTATGTTGGAGTTTTTATCCCAAACTTCATTTAATTTTACTTGATTTGGTTAGCTTTATGATTGTCGTATTCTACAGAATTAAGACTAATAGAAAGCTTATCCTGCAGCTATGGCAGGATAAGTCTTGTGTTCTTCGCTTATAAGCTTTCAGTGAGTTGTCACCCAGTCAACTTAAAAATCACCCATGCAGAAAAGGTTCCCAACAAGAGACGACAAGAGCATACACGGCATTATGATCTACGGTTATAATCTTACCGTCCACAGTTTCAGCGCAGAGTTGCAAGCCCAGATTGTTCTGTGGATTAATCACCCAGTGATTGCTGGTCACAGTAATGTCAAACACAAACCAGCCCACATCAGAAGCTTGAGCCTTTCTTGTGTCTAACAGGAACAAGTCTGCATCCCTAAGTTAAAGAAAATAGAGAGTTAAGGCATTCAAATATTATTATTTTTTGTCCTTAATTTCCTTGCTGACAATAACTTCCTGGAGTCCAAATAAATAATCCTTTGACATATCCTCATCACGACACAGTACAGCATGTGCTGTAGCTAAAATGTAATTGTTAAGTATAATACAGGTATTTCCCCTGAGAGGCCTTTCTGAAATGAGTCTCAGCATGTGAAAACTACAGCTCTGGAAAACGTGAAAAATCCAGCTTCCTGATATAAATATACAAAATATGTAATTGAGGCTGTGCATAAAGGATTCATCTTTCAGCATGAGAATGTCTCAGGAAGATTTACTTTTACAAACCGTTCAGTGTAAAAGACAAAAAATGTCAAAATCACGTTCCAATTTCAACTAAACCTCAAAGGCGTAGCATTGCTAAAAAAAACTGTTATTATTAACATATGACAGCAAATATATCATATGACAAAACATGAATAGATGACAGTTCAGACAGTCTCATATTAGTACAGATGTTTAGGAAATAAGTCCCTATATCAAAGTGGAGATTATGTATCTATTCAATAATGCAATTATTACATTTTAACCCTCAGTTGCCTTATATATTCTCAGATTTGTTCCCATGAAATCTTCCAGTAATTCAGAAGGGCTGTTCAGAAGGGCCACTCAGAAGGGCTGCTCAGGGGAGTTAGTGTAATCGTGTTCCTAAATGTTTAGCATGGATTGTTTATTTGTTCTCTTTTCACATATCTCTTGACACAATTGGTTCCAGAACCACATCTGTATTACAAATAATTTACTACAATATTTAACTCTGATCAGTTTCATTTTACATGCTTCTACAAAGCAACATGCATTATTAAAAACTGTTTTCACCATTTAGCCTTTTAAATCTAAATCTATAGTTATAGAAACCTATTTCTTTTCTGACATAAATACTAATCAAAACAATAATTTACAAGAAAAAAGATTTTATTCTAAATTTTGACTGTCCAAGTAAACTAAAGACAGACTTGACTTACACAGACCATGGAAAGGTATTGTTACCTTACAGACAGCATGAACATATGTTTAAAGAGGTAAGAGAGACAGAAATAACAGGCTTTGTGTATAAAAGGTGGATTTAAAATTACAATGTCCTGTCACTCTGTTCTCATGTTGCTTAATTGCAATGACATCGTAGGAAGTTACTGTCTTTTCTAGACTTAACACTGTAAGTATGCCTAGAAAGTCTGATACTAAAAAAAACATCTCATGTAGCTCTTGAAACTGCGAATGTTCAATACTCTGGAAAACAAGATCAAATGAGCTGTTACAAGCATATGTTTACTTACATGTGAGAAACATCTGCAGAATCAGGTTAAAGAGCTCAGAAATTATAAAGGAGGGTTGTTTTTTTTTAAAAAAAAATAAGAAAATTTAAAGGGTTTTCTTTCAAGCCACCTTCTTTTCTTCTGCTAAAGGATAATCTTTTGCTGGGCTCTTATCACTTACATTCTAGTAGAAATGTGTTAATGACCACACAAGGAGAAAACATACTTTCTCCCTCTGGAGCTAACATGAAAACACTCTTACAATTCAGAAGAGCCTGAGCTGCTATGCTAGCACTAAACAAATTAACAACGTACCGCAAGCTCATAAATAGTACTTGCTGGAGCCTTAAATGCCAACTTTTTTCTCTAATAAGCAATTTTATCAGAACTTTAAAGCTGAAAAGTTTAATTCTGAATGTGACAGTCTTTAAGATGTTTATTTATAAATATCTCTTTTATCATTCAGTAGATTTAGTAGAAAACTGTAAAATTGTTTGAATATAAAATGTTACAATATCACAGTGCTGTAGTTTCACATTTGTCTTGTCTCCTAGAATACGTAATTGTTTTCCCATATAGATTCTTTCAGCTCCAAACTTTGCAGGGATTGATACAAAATGTTCTCAAAAGTCAGGATGTACAATGTCTCATATGCCAAATCGGAATAGGGCACTGCTAATGGTACAGTCCAGAAATCCCTATAAAGGACAAATTTTCCCTGTGAATCTCTCTTCAATATGACTTCATTTTTTTGTAGTGCAGCAGAAACTCATACCAAAGCGTCTTTAGCATTGATACGTCAATCTTCTTGCCTGCCTTCCTACAAGTATAGTGATCTGGCTAAGGTAATAAACTCAAAGAGAAAGATTGTTCTTGCCCATTAACTAAGCAAACGAACCAAAAATTAGTTGTGGGTACCTAGAGAAAACTAAAACGGATTCTCAAGAACACGTAGTAGAATAGAGAAAAATGTCTCCAGATCAATGCTAATGATTCAGCCCACATAACAGTAATTTACTACAGACATTCAAAGTATTTGTCAGGAAAAAAGCCAATTCTTTTTATAATTGATACTAACATAGGGTGAAAACCTGACCCCTGAGAAGGCAGTGAGAGCTCCAGGATCAGGATTCCCCCATTAGCTGATGTCATTCACTTAAACCTCTCACCATATTTTATGACATTTTTAATTTCAAAATTCTCCTTCATTCTGTGAAAAGAAAAAAACAATCACACTTAAAATGAAAAACAGCTGTAAATTTTGGCTCTAATTTAAAAAAAATATTTCTATTTAAAAAATAGCCCACAACACATAATAAAAAAGTAAGGCATTATGTCGTAAATAGCCTGAAATGCAACAGTGAACACATTCGGGCAGAATACAGCTGATTGGCTTTACCTTTATGGAGACTGTTTAAGTTTAGTGATCTCAGCCTGGTCCCAAACGACCAGTTGTCTACAGCAGAAATGCTACCACAGTCAAGAATTTCAGCAAAGAAGCTGTGGGCAGAACGTCTAAGAAGCTCTAGATCTCCTGGGCCACTTAAGGAGTAAAGGTGGAATAAAGCAACTATATGTTCCTTGAAACCCAGCAAAGTTTTGAACAGATCAAATCACGATTACTATGTAATAGGCCATCCCCATAATGCTACTTCACCTCTTGCCTCATTCCAGAAAGCTGCATTAGTATCTTAATGCCACTTGAGGATTCCCTAATGCGGGAAGAATCCTTGGGGTTTAGTTAAATTAGTGGCTAGCTGCCACCAGATCATGAACAAGGATTTGGCATGTTGGACTACATTATTTTTGTCATGAGAAAAGATTTGGGTAGGAGTACATTGGCAGGGCTGCATAGGAAAGTTCGCCTTGCCACGGGCTGTGCTTTACACGCTCCCTTAGAACAAACAGAAAACTTCAATCCCAAAGACTGTAATTCCAGTAAACTCCGAGCGAATTGAATACAAGCACACTTCAGTGACCACGCTGCCGCTGAGACAGAAAAATGTCCGAGACTACAACATAATCCTTAGTCTGCAACTTAGAAACCCTACACCTTGACCACTCCTTGCCTGAAAGCATCACAGGACTGTGTCTGGGATTGCAGAGCCCTGTTAGACACTCATGTTTCCTGTTCACAGTAAAGAAGGGTGGGGGAGAAGGGTTTTACCCACCAGTTTTACTGTGATATGGCACTAATAAGGAGTGTGGGATATTATAGAATCCTAGAATAGTAGAATGGTTTGCGTTGGAAGGTACCTTAAAGACCATCTCGTTCCAACCCCACTGCCATGAGCAGAGATACCTTCCAGTAGACCAGGTTGCTCAAAGCCTCATCTAACCTGATCTTGAATGCCTCCAGGGATGGGGCATACAAAACTTCTCTGGGCAACGTGTTGCCACATCTCACCACCCTCATAGCTCTCTCATCCTCACATTCTGCAATCGTAGCTTCTGAAAATTTTACGCTTAAAATCTCATATATGTATGTAGGACAAAGCTGAGGTGACAAAGTCAAGAATAGCACTAATGAAGTCTGGGACCCAAAGCAAAAGCTGTGGCTTTATTAGAAAAAAATAAATAAATGAGAATTCTTGGGAGCTTTTCTGTCTGGAGGTATCAAGGATCTTGTGGGCAAAGTTCCTTGTTTCCAATTCGAACAGTGGAGAGGTTGTGGTCTTCTTTCATCCTGTCCCGCTGAAGCATTTTCTTCTATATACTCCATGTATGAGTAGAAACTGGCAAAATCAACAATAGGAGGGAAACAGTCTACTTCTGAAGTTTCTGTAGTTATACTGGTGAAATCAAATGTGTGGTATATTTTTTTATTTATTTTTTTATGTTTTATTATTATTTATCCTTTCTAGGATCACGCTTCCATTAAAGGACATGGGGCTTTTGTGTTCATAAATGGAAATAGAAAATGTTGATAAATTTTATATTGAAATAAATCAAGAGCTTTCTTTAGTGGCTTCACAGAGACAGTTGTCATTTTAACAAGTCAGATAATATTAAATTGTGATCTTGCTTCAGAGTAGTAAACGGTTTTGCTTTCTCTAATACAGAATAGAAACCACCTATCGGAAAAATATTTTAAAAAAACAAACCCAAAAAAGAAAACATCAAATAGATTAAAAAACTAACTTTTCCCATTAGTTTCCCCAATCTGTTTTCAGGTGAAGAGCTTTCATCATGCTAGCCTTGACCTGTGCTCTTAAAAAAGATATCTTTCGTTCCTTCTTGTTTCATTCCTTTCTCCAATAAGTTTCTTTTAGAACCAACATCAAAAGAATTTTTGCAAGCTGAAGACAGAGGTGAAGAAAAAATTCCACACTGTTTTGTTCATCCCCAAATTTACTAAGAAAGCAGAAGGTACTCTGGAAGGATGAGTGTTCTCCCTCTTGTTGATTCTACTTCATTGATATAAAATGACTCCCTATTTATAGCCATAAACATTTTATAACTTAACGTTCAGAGATCTCACTTGGAAGGTAAAAGCTCAAGCTTCTGTGGGCAGAAAAGAGATTTGAACTCTGGCCCAACCTTTGAGCTAACTAGTGATGAGTCATTTTTTTTCCTCCAGAATACTCCATAAGTTTAGGCTGCCATTTTCTTTTCTTCTGCTAAACATGCCCAGAGTGTTTTATCTGTTCCAGGATGAAGGAAGTTTTTGTTTATGGCAAAACAAAACTTTTTTTCCCTCCCTTTTCTGAGAAAAGACATAAACTAATTTAATTTCAAAATCCGAATTTTGGGTTTATGTTGTTTTTTTCAGAAGAAGCTTGGAATTGCTAGTAGTTTTCAGTGGGATTTTTCAGGTATTTAGCTACTTTGCCTGGTGAAATCTGGTCATTTTTTCAGGTCTGGTAGAGTCCTAGAAACATGTCACACACAGAGCTCTGCAAAATCAGATGAGAAATTTGTTCATGTGTAATGTCGTATGTGACAATTAGGGACATGGTTTAGTGGTGGACTTGGCAGCGTTAGGTTTATGACTGGACTCAATGATCTTAAAGGTCTTTTCCAACCTAAATGATTCTATGATTCTACGATTGTTTTAATTTTCAGTTATGGTGAGCAGAATGTGTTAAGTGATCATATGTCATCTTGAAGTTAGTGCATGACTTTATATTTTAATTACATTCTGCAGGATATTAAAACACATGTAAAAAAGTCATGCTTCTTCAAAAGTAAACAGAGTTGAACTGTCTATCTGCCTTTAAGGAGCTAAGTGAATCTTGGCTTGTAGTACCTCAGTGTCAGCAAATGGTGCATTTCCCAAATCCAGATGCTTAGACTGTGCATACGACTCCACCATTTGCTCACTGAGAACACTAACTCTCATCCTCTTTGTGCATGGGCAGAGTACTTGGTGAGATTGGACGCGTAACTCTCCACAAACCTGGAATAAATTACATTGAAGATAAGTTTCATTCTTGCTCAGTATTTGTTGTCGTTGCCTAGGAATTAATACTGCTCAAGCCACAGCGGTAGCAATGGTGCCTTGCCCAGCGTACGTTTATGATCAGTTATTGTCTCCCTACTTAGACAGAAACACGAGATGTTCTTCAACACATGATACGTTCACGCCAACAGGTTACCTGTTTGGATACTCCTTGATGATCTGATATACGCTAATCTGAATGGTTTCATTCCCAAAGCGGCTGTTGCTTCGATCTTTGTATATCCGGAATTCGGCTGCTGTCACTGCCTCTCCGTGCGGGATTTGCGTAAGGTCAAAGCGAAACTCTTTGTAGTGCCTTCGCTGGTGGGAGAAGTCCTTGTCTCTTTCAACTGTAAGAAAAAGAGTTGAATGTAAATTAAAGAGGTGAAATGAATGTCCATTTCCCACGATTAATGGAGTGTTCCCTGTCCTTGGGAGTAAACAAACAGGACAATATGAAACTGTGCAAATAATAAAACCACAAGCCCAGACATACTTCCAGTTAAAGGAAATTCCACCAGCCCAGTTTCTTCAGTTCAAAAGGAAAAAATCTCAGTGGCTTTTACACAAATTCCAGAAGCTGGAGTGGAAAGAATATCAAAAAAAGCTGAAAAAAGGCATGCTGTAAAGTAGCTAGAAATATGGACAAACTAAAAGCTGTGAAAGGATTTAGGACTTCAGTGTAGTCATAAGCAAAGCCGCAGTAATGTCGGAGCCATAGATGACTTTGGAAAACACTAATTGCCACTAATAACCAGGCAGATGAGAGGAATGCTGCTCATTTCCACTTAACGTAATAAATTCTGAAGAGTTACTGAAGTGCACTGTGACAGCTATATTTTTAAGAAGCAGTTACATCCTATAAATTAACACGTTGTAGTCTAGTGGCATAAGCGTCATCTTGCCGGTGGTCAGAAGAAGGAGCCATGAATCAGGGCTGAGTGGTTCTGGCACCCCCCGTGGCAAAGGGAGCCCCGCTCCAGGAATGAGAAGTCCCCTCAAATGCACTGTGGGTGGGCAGGTGCAGGTCTCTCTGCTTCTGACACTGCCACAATTTAAAATTAAAATTAACCTCGTCATTGCTTAATTCAGGATTGTACAGAATTTTAAAGGGGATTAAACAGAGGATTTTAGTTTATTTGAGTTTACAACTGATTTGAAGCTATTTCCACTGTCTGCTGCAGTTCTGACCCTAAGTTAAGAGTGACATTTGCAATGGAATACGTGTTTTGATGTGGCAAGGGAACCTACAGGCCACAGTACTGGCTGATGACCATCTTATGGGATTAATACTTTGGGCTTTATGGATGTGGAAAGGAAAATGATCCATGGTTTCCGCTGCCACAGAGTGCAATGCATCATTGACCTGTGAAGCCGCAGTGCTCTGTGAGAAGAGAGGGCTTCTCACTTCTGGAGAAGTTCCACCTGCCTCATGAGATAGGTGCTTTGCTTTACTCATGGTGGACAAAGCCTAAAACAGTCAGAGCTGGGATTTGGTTTTGGTAACCAGCTAAACGTTTATGACCGCACCCAGCTCCCCAAATGCTCCCTCCTATAATCCCTGCTCTTTTCTTGCATTTTACTATTAACAGTCCTCAGATCTAAGGAAGGAACTATGTCAGTTCTGAAAAAGCACATATTTAGATTACTATTACATGTATAAATAATAAAATGTGTATGTTACTACAGTATATGTATATTTATACTTATGTGCTCATGTATGTGTGTACACCTACATAAACAATGCACATGCGTTTCTATGTGTGTATAAACATGTATAAACCTGCACATGTGTATTATTATAATGTATATGTGGTCTTACAAAATAGAAATGCACTAAAAAAAACCAAACAGTTATTGGCTTGCCCTATAAGATTACAGTTATGGACATATTAAAGTGAAAGCTATTGCAGGAAAAGTATTTACATTCTTTTCAGAGGAGTAGTTACTAGTTAAGTCACCTGTGGCCGTGTAGCTAGTGCCTTACAGTATGCTTCCTTTTCACTCTTTCAAAAATGTAAACTATCCTTGTTTTCATTAGCATATTTTTTTTAAAAAAATGTACAAATCTGTATTGCCATAAGAATCACCAAAAATAAAATATATAGGCCATAAGAACACTTTCTCTTCTGTAAGAATGAACTTTCTCCTGGCTGACAAAAGGAAAATTGTCTGCTAACTTGTGAGCCATGGGTTTGCCATCGTACACTACGTAGAAAATGTAAAGCAAAAAAGAGGCAGAAGCATGTAAACTGGCTGCTCTGTACCTGAAGATGAATGGACTGCTACTGAAGAGAAACAGGATACAGGTTATTTAGCAGCTCCACTGCCCAGTTCTGAACTGTGAGATATATACGGAGACCTGACTTGAGGTTTGGGGGTTGTTTGCTTTTTTTTTTTTCTTTAATGTCCATGTAAAGTCTTTAATTTCAGAGGGAACTTGACAGAGATTAGCATATGCAAATGCACTGAACTGATGAGGATTTTTTTCTAGTGCAGAGTCGGCTGTAAGTTTCTAAGGTTGTGACTGAGTGTTTCGAAGCAGACGTAGAACAGATCTGTCAATAACCTCCAAAGGAAAAATATATTAAAGTCAAATGTATCTCTGATATCTCTGGTTAGTATTTATTCAACAAGTATTTACCAGCATGCGTGGATAACTAAGCATTATTCACTATGAGTGATATTAGTGATATGAATGACAATTAGATGTGGAACAAAAGGTTTGAATGCCAGTACTCCTGGCCTGTTTCATTTGTGTTTGGGTTTGAGGTTTCCTTTTGTCTAGTTTCTTACAAGTACCTTCTAATTAGTAACGTTAGTTTGGAAACAGCAGTTCTCTCCTTATGTGCTCTAGTTTGGACAGAAACATCTACAATACCTTGCGATACTATCGGTGGGTTCTCTCAGGACCACTCACAACAGCTGAAAGAACACTGATAGCCGCTTCCTGATGGGCCCAAAATTAAATATTACAGCTCATACAGATAGTACTTGTCTGTCTTTCCATGTATACCCATGGAAGAGACAACACTGTCATCTGAAAGGGACACAAATTCAAAATTTCCTTGGGTCCAGGCAGCATTTATAGGCAGGCCAGGACTCGGGAGTAGCAATAGCCTGCAGAAATGAAGGGTTGTAGGAAACAGGCACTGAACACTGTGGAAAACACTGAGTTCAGGGAGGTCCCACTCTCCACAATGAAGCCAAAATTTCAAACCGCAAATTTCTGTTGGCCAATGTACAAAACATATAAACAATTTTTACAAATTTAGGCAATTTAAGATCTTGCATTATATAGCAGACTGTAAAAAAATTAGTGATGTTGATGTTGTAATAATAACTAAAGGCTAGAATGATAAACAGGTTATAAAAGTGAAATGTTATTTAATGATATTAAGTATTTTAATATTGAAAATAATATACAAGTCTTGATCCCTTCTACATCTAATAAATGCCTTGTCAGGGAAGACCATGAATGCTCAGTATCAATATAGAGTATTTCCCAAGTCCTTTGACCTGCTGAAATGGCACGAAGTGCAGGGGGGCATCATATCTCAAATATTTTTTTTTCACATGCAAGAGCTTTTCAATACTGGCAGTCTAAAAAATACAGGTTAAGACTTCTAAGTATTCAGCTCTTCCAGAATATTCTCATGTCATTCCAGCTCTGCTCAGCTCATCCGCCAAAATGCATCTCTGTGAGACCGATCACAGCATCTAAAAAACTGTTCACCAGAAAATCAGGAAGTCTTTTTTTAACCATTGGAGGAATATATTTTTTCTAAGTAAAAATAACTGGAATATTAGGGTCAATGCTGATCACAACAAACTTCTTCATTTGCTCTCATTATTCAGGATTCTTAGCATCAACTTTTTAAAATGTTATTTTTGTACCACCTGAAACAAATATATTCAGCACTATGATTACATCAGGCAAATCACAGCTCAGGGGAATATCACAAACACCTGTGTGTAAGATGGGAAAGAATGATATTTTCCACCCGTGTGGCAAACCGATGAAATATTCATACTGTATTAATACTAAGCCCAACTCTAAGAAGAATGAAGACAACTTCACATCAAAAAGATATTTTAGAAAAGAGGTCATCTTTTACACCAAGAGAAAATACCATGCACTAATTTTGATTAACAAAATTGTTTGTCTTCTGGAAAAAAGTACAAGGCCACATGTATGGATGGACAGTATAATAAGTAATCGGTAATTTACCAATTCAGCTATAAATATCTGATTAACCATCGACTGAGCTTAAAAAATGTAAAAAGTGCTAGCAGTGGCTTTAGGTCATAGCACATGAGGGTCTATTAGATGTGTTCTTTCATTAGTGATTAGCTTCCCACTGACATGTTCTTTGCTTTTCCTGAAGAGGTTGGTACCTGGTGACACACAGGGAAAGTGAAAGCTTCTTTGGCGAACTGGGGGACAAACCAAAGATATGTTGTAATAAACCAGCTTTACAATGTAAGATCCCAGGATCCCAACTGGATTCACAAATAGCGAAGCCTCATTAATCAACTCAGTGTCACTGTTTAACTACTAAATATAAATGTCACGGCAAAACGGAGGGTTTTACAGACCGGGTGCAACTCTGAAGGGGCTATTTACACTAATCTCACTGAATTTCACTGTTTGACTCTGAATTCTCTGTATAAACACTAAGTAAACCAGTCAGTTTTAATCACTTCAAGGTGATAAAGGTTACAGTAAGCTGATACACTACAAACGACAGTCGTTTACATCTTGAATATAATGAAATGATAGTTTATCTACAGTGAACACTTGTGGTTATCTGACAAAACAGGTCAAAGGTTCCAGGCGTTTTCTCCTGAAATTACTCAGTGGTGCCTCTAATGACTGATAATTGAAAGCAGAGGCTGGAAATATCAAATGTGGTAGGTGACAGATAAGCAACAGATTAATGCAAGTACTCTGTTGCAGGACACTAAAAGGTCAGAGGCCCAAGGAATTAGCTATTGTGCTACTGTGAAAAGACAGACATCAAATAGCTGTTTACCTCATTCTTATTGTTCTCTCCAACATTCGAATTCTAGAAGTACATTCTGTCTTCCACTATCAGACTATTTGAAGTGATTCACTTTTTACAAAATAAGGAAGAATGAAGGATTTTCATATTTTTTTTTTAGAAAGCTATGCTAGGTGTAAATATTTTAATGAAATGCATCAGAGAGAAGCTAAGTCAGAACGTCATTCTGAGTTGAGGAGATCTGATAACAGATTTTGAAAAATATATTTTAAAGCTTTGTAATTCTTTTTAGGCTTTTACACTGTAGAAAATGAACATTAACTTTAGAAACTTAGATAAGCTTA